ATATATAAACTTGTAATTTAATCACAAATTCATTTTTTTTTTTTTTTTTAATACAGTTTCAACTTGCCTTTGTCAACCTGCAGCCATACACAAATCTAGTTCTCAAACTCAGAATTAAATCTATCTGTCTCTACTGGTCGGTCCGTCTGTCTGTCTGTCTGTTTATTACATAATTGATCATAGATTGATTTCTAAAATAATTGCATTGTAAGTTATATTTGAAATGTAAGAGCTTATTTTTCTGTAATGATATGGGCTTGTGCGATAAATACTCAGTGAAATTTATTTTTATTGTGTAAGTACTTGTGTCTCAAATAACATTCTGTTAGCTGCAAATCTACAGTGTCTGGGTTTTTATGCTGCAACAATTTAAGAGTTTTTTTTTTGTTTCAGAACAATCTTGCTATTTTACAGACACTGGCTTCTTCTTTTTTTTTTTTGTAATTTTAATTAATCTAAATATCTGTTCCATTATAAACATGTTGCTTTAGTTCTTTAAAAAAAATTAAGTTAACCCCTGAAAAGGCTGCTTTTTGTATCCGTGAGACTAACTGAATTCTTAAATATGAATTTATTTCTATTCTATTCATAGGAGCATTAAATTACAAATATATGTATATTGTGGCATTAAATAATAATTTGGGTTCAGATACTGTTTTTATTGATTGATTGTTATTGAGTATGCTTTTAAATACTGCAGTAAAGCTGAACAACAACTGTTAAATAAAAATAGATTTTGTTTTTCCAAAAAATAATTTGTTGTTCTGTAAAATGTAATTGCTCCCACCAGTAGGGGAGACAGCGCAGTCATATTTTTGTGTCCTATATTATCTCCACTCTGAGCTTCGTAGTAGGAAGGCTTTGTTAACTATACAATGAGATGACAAGTTGAGATGCAAATGTAATGCTTAGAATAGTCAAAGTGGAAAAAGTCTCAAACGTGGCTGAGTATTGGTTTTGCTTTTAAATCTTGACTACGTTGAACTAAGTTTTGTATGTTCATAACTCAAGCAATTATATTTTGCCCCCTAGCATACTGGGGTGTCCTGCATTAACTTATAGCGATTGTAGTCCCCTCCCTCCTGCCACCCGCTTTAAGTTAAACCCAGATCCTACATTTTTGAATAATCCGGGCTTTTACTTTCTAAAAAATTTTTATTTTACTAAGATCCAAAGCTAAACAGGCCAAAGAAATCTGACAATGCTGTATTCTTTTACAAAATACAAAACGAACCGGGATCCAGCTTGTATCACTAAAATATAAGAATAAAATGCAGCATAGTGTAATAAAGTTACAAATCAGGTATTAATTTGTGTTTCAAGGTTGCACTCACAAATTGCTGGTTATTTTCAAGCCCTCAGGTTGCCTCCCCTTTGATTGGGGAGGGGGGGGATCCTCCTATTCGATTTCCACGCCAATTCCAAAGTTAGGAAGTCCACACACTCCCAATGGTTGAAAAAATTTGAATTTATTGGCTTTTTAAAATATAAAAATAAAATAAAACAATAAAAATAATATTATTACTGGTCCTGTAATGCTGTATTCTTGTATCCACATTTATATAATAAATAGTTTTTAAAAAAATGTTTTTTTTAATTTACATATAATTTTTATTAGTCCGAAATGTGTGGTCTTTTTTTGTTTTTTATTGTTGTTGCATATGTTTAATTTCCAGTGCAACATTTTTTCAAATTGGTATGTATGTGTATATATATATATATGTGTGTGTGTGTGTGTGTGTATATATATATATATATATAATATGTGTGTCCTGATGAAAGTCCCAGGTTAAGGACTGAAAGGTCGACTTGACAATAAACTATTTGATGTTGGAAATCCAGGAGTGCCGGCAATCGTTTGTTTTTCTCTCTATATATATATATTTAGTTATATTGATCTGTACTATGTTAAATTTTTAAATTTGTATTTTATTAGAGGTTTAGTACTCATAATACAACAATGTCATAGTATGGGAAATGTAAAGAACTGCAAAACCAAGTTTCTGTAACAGTCCATGATGTCATTATTAAAACGCCTATTGTTGGTTACTCTGCAACCTCAGGTTCCTTGTGACCCTTTGTTACGCCACTTCTCAAGCCCTTATTGATGCAGACAGTCCCGCTTTCAAGGGTGTTTGTGGGGTCTCCAACTTTGCGCTCTCTGTGAGCCAAACATCTGGGAGAGGAATGTCTCTAGAATGGTAATACATCTGGGATTGGATTGGATTTGATTTCTGGGGCTTATAACTTGGTGTATGGTTTATCCTATCAGAATGGTGCCGGGTGTATGCTCTATCACCTGGGAGTTGGTGGTGTGCTAAGTGAGTGCTGTGGTAAGCCGCTTAGGTGAGTAATTGTCTCCTCGGTGTCATTGCGATGTGGTGACTCTTTGTGGGCCCTGGTTTGCTCTGTGCGGCTTTTTGCTTCCCGGTGTCGGCTTCTCTGGGTTCTTTGTTTTCCGCCTCTTGTCTTCTCAGCTGGCGGAGAAAGTGTGCCTGGTCGTCCGCGGAGGTGAGTGTGAGTGTCCGATCTCCCTTCATTGCTGTTAGGGATCCATCTGCCCCCCATCGGTATTTGATTGCCTCCGCTCTTAATTGTTTAGCCACTGATGCTAGTTGTCTCCGCTCCGCTAGGGCTGCGAACGGGAGGTCTCCATAAAGGGACACTGTGCTGCCTTCGAATTGAACGCTTCCCAGTTCTCGGGAGCGAGCCATGATCGCTGAGCGGGTCTGAATATCTTTCGTGACCGCTATGACGTCCCTTGGGGATTCTGCTGGCGCTGCTGCGGCTTTGCGTATTCTAAATGCGGTTACTATTTTGTCTGGTTCGGTGTGCAGCCTTATTTCCATTCTGGTGGTGAGGCGGGATATGTACCTCAGCAGGGCTTCGTCCCCAATGGTCTCTGGTATGCCTCTGATGCGAATGTTTCGCTTTCTGTGGCGAGCTTCTAGCGTTGTGACCGTCCTCTTGAGCTGCTGGACCTGTGAGCGCAGATCCTGCACAGCGTCACTGGAGATCTGTTGCTGGGCTTCTCTGGCGCTTTCTCTGGCTTCAACTTCAGTGAGCCTCTTCTGGATGACCCCCATCTCCTTCTTTGTGGCCTGCAGGTCTGCCCTCCACACCTCCCTCATTTCCTCAAGGAGGTCTCTGATGTCCCTCTTTGTAACTGGGGATGAGTCTTCCTCAGATTCAGATGCCTGACACTGGGCTCCGTCTTCTGCCTGAGATGAGGTGGGGCTGTCTCTGCCCTCCTGGGAGTCATCTGAGGCTTCCTCCTCGCTGGGTGCGGCGGGCGCCATTTTGGCTGGTGCCGCTTGTGTAGGCCTCATAAAGGACAGCCGAATGTCGGGCGCTTTTGGCGGTTCCGGCAGACGGAATTTCTTAGTTTTTCGCCCCATGTCAGTAGCTGTGCGAGGGCTGTAATTGTGGTGTTTGGAGGGTCCCGTTTGCGGGTTTCTGGCCTCTATTGTATGTCTCTGTGTCGGAGCTGCACGGGAACGCGTCCTCCTCGTTAGACAGCTGGCCACGCCCCCTCTAACTGTATTTTGATAATAATATATATTATAAATATGTATATATAAATAAATACAAATAATAATACGAAATATATATATATATATATATATATATATATCCATATACAAAATGACATAAATAATTTCATAAATATATAAGAAGACTTCAAATATATAAATATGTATATATATTTAAATTCTACTTGCATATTTATGTAATATTTTTACATAATTAAGTAATTTTATTGATTGCAATTTGAGGGACCTCCCTGACAGCCCAGGCCGAATGTCCAGAGAATTTAATTTGCTATCACTGTATTTAACCCTGTAACTTTCTATGACACCCTATAACCTGTACATGGGGGGTACTGTTTTACTCAGTAGACTTCGCTGAACACAAATATTAGTATCACAGCGATGATATTTTTTGTGAAAGAGAAGTTTTTGTCATTTTTCACACACAAACGGCACTTTCACTGATGATATCATTGTTGTGATACGATTTTCTGTTTTAAAACACTAATATTTGTGTTCAGCAAAGCCTCCTGAGTATAACAGTAACCCTCCATGTACAGGTTGTATAGTATTTTTAAGTTACAGGGTCAAATATAAGGGTCAAAAAATTTTACATTGAAAATTTCCAAGTTGGATATGTTGTCTTTGAGAGCGTATGGTAGCCCAGGAATGAGAATTACCCCCATGATGGCATACCATTTGCAAAAGAAGACAACCCAAGGTATTGCAAATGGGGTATGTTCAGTCTTTTTTAGTAGCCATTTAGTCACAAATACTGGCCAAAATTAGCGTTCATAATTTTTTTTTTGCATTTTTAACACACAAACAAATATAAATGATAACTTTGGCCAGTCTTTGTGACTAAGTGGCTACTAAAAAAGACTGGACATAACCCATATTGAATACCCTGGGTTGTCTACTTTAAAAAAATATGTACATGTTAGGTGTGATTTAGAGATTTATGACAGATAAGAGTGTTGCAATGTCATTATTGATAAAATGTAAAAATATATATTTTGAAACAGCAATGTCCTACTTGTACTTATAGCCCTATAACCTGCAAAAAAAAAAAGCAAAAAAGCATGTAAACACTGGGTGTTTTTAAACTCAGGACACGATTTTGAATCTATTTAGCAGGTTTTTGTATTATCTTTTGTAGATAAGAAAACGTTTTTTCAAGTAAAAGTCAAAAAACATGTTTTTTTTTTAAATTTTTCACCATAATTCCTTTTTTTTTCTTTTTTTAAAGTAAATTATATGACATGATACAAATAATGGTATGTAAAGAAAGCCCTTCTTGTCCTGATAAAAAAACATATATTATTTGTATGGAAATAGTAAATGAAAGAGTAGAAAATTACAGCTAAACACAAACATCACAAAAGTGTTAAAACAGCTCTGGTACTTAACGTACAACATGGCCAAAACAGTCCGGTCCTGAAGGGGTTAAAGAGACACTGTAGTCACCAAAACAAAAACAGCTTAATGTATTTGTTCTGGTGAGTATACCCTTGTTATGTTTTTTTGCTGTAAACACTGTCTTTCCAAAGTAATTTTACAAAAATATATTTAAAAATATATTTAAAATATATTTAAAAATAAATATATGTACCAAAAGGTGTTATGCAAGCAGGATCAAGTGGTGATATGGGTTTTGCCTAAAAGGAAGCTTACAGGAATAATATTAAACAGTTTTTCCTCCACAAATCCAAACTCTATCCAATTGATTCATCATTTATCAAAAAAACACAGGCTTCCTGTATATATTTTTAGACTCTAATGGCATAAGGTTTAAATTACAAGCAGACTGCCTTGCATTCTGTTTGTTAGATTTAACTTTCTCTGAGCAGGGGGCAATGACCCTGGCACTTGAACTTAGGACAGCTATTTGACAGAGGGTTATAAGGTATAAGAGACAGACTAAGAATAATGCAGACAGAACATTTTAAATACTCTAAACTAATGCATTCCACTGTAAAATTATATGTATCATTGCACTTGCTACAAATATTAGAATGCAGCTAAAAATTCCAGTAGAAGATATTTGTTCTATTATTTATCCAATAATTAAAGACACATATTAATTTGTTTAAACCTTTGATGTAAATGTATCTGTATTTTTAAATGTATTGACTTTATCCTAATTCAAAATACTTAGAAATTGGTTGAGCAGATGAAGTAGGACAAGGCCAGAACTGATTGCCTCCCTTTTGCTTGTAATAATCAACAACCTAGTAGGCAATGCTAAGTTCTGAGAACTTACATTGAGAGTAGTATAGAATTGTCCTCAATGCTGCCAGAGGTAGGTGTTGCCAAGCAAACACCAATTATTTCATCAGAATGACATTCTCAAGATGTAAAAGTGGCACTGGGAGGTCTTCAATAATCCAGAGTTATAGCTGAGTGCAATATTGAAAAGTATCAAACATGCCACTGTTAAAGGACCACTATAGTGCCAGGAAAACATACTCATTTTCCTGGCACTATAGTGCTCTGAGGGTGCCCCCTCTCCTCCTCCTCTCCTCCTCTTCGGCTGAATGCGCATGCGCGGCAAGAGCCACTCGCGCATTCAACCAGTCCATAGGAAAGCATTCTCAATGCTTTCCTATGGACGCAAGTGTCTTCTCACTGTGAAAATCACAGTGAGAAGCGCGTAAGCCCTCTAGCGGCTGTCAATGAGACAGCCACTAGAGGCTGGATTAACCCATAGGTAAACATAGCAGTTTATGCTATGTTTACAGGAAAAAATGGTTAATTCTATCTGGACCTGGCACCCAGACCACTTCATTAAGCTGAAGTGGTCTGGGTGCCTATAGTGGTCCTTTAAGGGTAAAATAAATACATTATTGGGTATGGAGGCCATGCTTATAATGAATTCCCTAAAACAACCATAACCACAATAATTTAAATAGATCAACTATTAAATCTATAACATGCTCATGTGGCTATCATGTGTGTATATATGAGGGACCTGCTCAATAAGCAGAAATTTGTTAATAAATAAACAACAGATTGACTTGAAAATAGAAGACACATATATATATATATATATATATATATATATAGTGGTCTTCTATTTTCTAGTCCATTTGTTTAAGGGTTGTTTATTAACAAATGTTTGCTTATTAACAATCATAAAAAGAATGTACGCTCGTTTGAGCAGGTCCCTCCTCAACACCCTATGTGTTGTGATCCTGTGCATCCAACTTGTCTTGTTACATATACTTGTCTAATAGTCCACCCATTGTAACCATTTGTTGCACTTTATTAGTAGTGATGTACCGAACGGTTCGCCGGCGAACGGTTCCTGGCGAACATAGCATGTTCGCGTTCGCCACGGCGGGCGAACATATGCGCGGTTCGACCCGCCCCCTATTCGTCATCATTGAGTAAACTTTGACCCTGTACCTCACAGTCAGCAGACACATTCCAGCCAATTAGCAGCACAGCCTCCCTAGCAGACCCTCCCACCTACTGGACGGCATCCATTTTAGATTCATTCTCAAGCTGCATGCTTAGTAAGAGGAGGGAAAGTGTAGCTGCTGTTCATAAGATAGGGAAAAGCATAGCTAGGTTAGGGATAAGGGTATGCTTTTTTTAATTTTTTTTTCTATGTAATGTAATTGCACTTAGTTGTCTGCCACTGCTGCCAGCTTCTGTGTCAGGCTCACAGTGCATACTGTGCCCATTTCCCCAGTCAGTGCCACCACTTACATCTGGTGTCACAATAGCTTGAATTTAAAAACAAAAAACTTTTTTCACTGTTATAGATTGAATAGCAGTCAGTTGTCTGCCACTGCTGCCAGCTTCTGTGTCAGGCTCACAGTGCATACTGTGTCAGGCTCACAGTGCATACTGTGCCCATTTCCCCAGTCAGTGCCACCAATTACATCTGGTGTCACAATAGCTTGGATTTAAAAACAAAAAACTTTTT